ATCCCCCCCAGGGGGCTATTTCTCACTTTCTGTCTCTCTGGCAAGCTCACACGCCCTATAGCAAAAATCTCTTTAAACACACACACACACACACACACACACACACACACAAAGGGAAGAACGGAATAGAGGAACCGGATGACTACCCGCACCCTTGACCCACTTTATCCCTAAAACAGAACAGGATGCTCTGAAAAAGGAACAAAACAATAGAGACACGTTAAAATGTAAAATATAACTACTCAAATTCAAAAAAAGATTTTTAAAATTATATATATATGTGTGTATGTGTATATATATATATATAGAGAGAGAATGTGCCTTAACTCCTACAAATAACAAAGACACATACAAAAAGGAAGGGGGCGGGCAGAGGTACAGTATCCCAGCTGAGCCCACCTGGGGAAGGGCCTGGGTTTGCACCCAGAACCTCCCTGAGCTGGGCATGCGCACGTGTGTCCATGTCCCGGGCAGTTTGGGACCGGTGGTGGATTGCAACATGGAGACCCTGTGGGGACTTCCTGCTTTTCTATCCGTCTCTGTCTCTCTCTCTCTCATGAAAGAAATAGAATCTTTTTTTTTTTTTTTTTTGTGGGTTTTTCTATATGGGGCGCGGGCCCCCGGCTGGCCATGCGGGAGTCCAGCACCTTTAACAATCACATTATCTGCCAGTCCCACTTTTTATTTCTTAATGAATCACTTACATAGAAATCCTCATCATAGATTGTGCTTCTCAGGATTCCAACCAAAGATCAGACTCAGTCCCACAGCCCCTGTCAAGTGGCTGGCATGGAACAGCTCCTACTGGGTCTTCTTCCTCTTTTACCTTATCAGGCCCATAGTTGTAACTGCCTTCTACTGTCATTGAACCTGGCGTATTTCTCTGGTCCTTGCTTGTTTCTAATGGGTCTCTTCTTACACCTTTGTCAGTGACCTTTCATTAAAGTCTTGCCAGTCATCCCTTTAGAGTGTGTTATCTATTCTCTGCCAGAAACCTAAATCATAAATACGACTATTACAGGATTTACTTTTAAAAATATCTAGCTATCAGGGCCAGGCAGTGGTGTGGATGAACCAAAATGGGAAAGGTCCTGGGTTTGCGTCCTAGGATCTCCTTGAGCAAACCAGGCATGTGTGTCTGTGATCCGGACAACTAAGACTGGGTGTAGATTACAACATGAAGACTCTGTTGGAGATGCCTATCTCTCTTACCCTGTCCCTATCCCTATCTCTCTCTCTCAGAAGAAATAAATAAACTTAAAAAACAAAAAAAGAAAAAATGGGGACCAGCAGGTGGCGTAGTGGTTGTGGCGTTGGACTCCCACATGACCATCTGCAGTTTGAGTCCTGGACCCGGAGGCTTGAAACACGCTGAGCACGCATGTGTGTGTGTGCCCAGAATCCTAAAAGGAGAATGGAAGAGAAGGGACAGTGGTGTGGCCATCCTCCTCTGGAGGGCAATTCCTTGCTTTCTCTGTCTCTGTCTCTTTCTCTGTCTCTGTCTCTCTGCCCAGCACATGTGAAAAAAAAAAACCCCCCCCCCTTCCAAAAAAAAAAAAAAAAAAAGAGAAAGAACATGTCAGATCAATCTACAAGGGCCTAGTGTCTGGCTACTAGGAAGTCCAAAACGAGCAGGAAAATCGGAAGACAGTTTTTCAAAGGCTCCGGCCAGCTCTGTGGAGCCGTGACAACGGAACTCTCACCATGATGCGGCAACATGACGAGCTCCCAAGTTTGTGTCCTGAGGGCTCTGTGTACATGCCAGCTCCGCACAGCCCTGAAATCCAGGCGGCTGAGGCTGGGGAGGGATGCTGTGGTGGGAAGACCTTGCTGGAGTGCCCCAGTCTCTCTACATATCTCAGAAGAGATCAGTCAACTTAAAAGAGGAAAGAAAAAGAAGAAACAAAAGACAGGAAAAGAAAGAGAAGGGAAGAAAGGAAAAGAAAGAAAGGAAGAGAGGGACCGGCAGTTAGCGTAATGGCTATGTCGCTGGACTCCCATGTAGTCGACCGCGGTTCGCGTCCGGGACCCGGGGGGAAGGGATTGCGGCGTGGCCATCCCCCCTGGGGGGTGATTTCTCGCTTTCTGTCTCTCTGTCTCTCTCTGTCTCTCTGGTGAGCGCATGCGCCCTCTAGCAAAAGCCTCTCCAAAAAAAAAAAGAAAAAGAAAAACACACCAACCTGGGCTAGCAGGTGGTATGGAGGTTAAAGGAGCTAAAAGCCACAGTCAACTGAGCAGTTCGAGTCCCAGACCTGGTAGCTTGAAAATCATGCTAGGTACATACGCATGTCTGCCCAGGATCCTGAGAAGAGAATGTGTTGTCACATAGCCGTCCCTCTGAGGGGGTGATGGCTCACCCCTCCTGCCACCCTCATCTCTCTCTGGCGAGCACATAAGCTTTTAGTTTTTAGCAAAAACTTAAAAAACAAAACAAAACAAACAAATGAACGAAAAAACCACTAAGCACATGCATGTGCATGCCCAAAATCTTGAAAGGAGGGAGACATGAAGAAGGGATTGTGGTGTGGCCATGCCCCATGAGAGGTGCTTTCTCCTCTCCTCTCTCTGGTGAGAGAGACAAAACAATAAGAAAAAAAAAAGATTGGGGGACCAGCAGTTAGCATAATGGCTATATCGCTGAACTCCCACGTAGTCGACCACGGTTCGAGTCCTGGACCGGGTGGTTTAAAATCACATGGGACACGTGTGCGTGCATGCCCAAGATCCCAAGAGGAGAATGGAGGAGAAGGGATTGCAGCATGGCCATCCCCCCTGGGGGGTGATTTCTCGCTTTCTGTCTCTGTCTCTTTCTGGCGAGTGCACACACCCTGTAGCAAAAACCTCTCAAAAAAAAAAAAAAAAAAAGAAAAGAGGATGGACGGGTTTACAAGAGCCCAGCACAATAAACAGCAACACCTCTGAGTGGTCGTGCAACCCCAGAACCCCAGGATCCAGAGAGGTCTTTCGGGCTTCTAGAGAGAACACCAGCAGCGCTGACAACCGCGGGGCCAGCCCTCAGGTTCCCTTGTGAAAATGTCCTTGAACCTGATCTTCCAGCCTGGAATCCAACAAGCTTTAGGTCAGAGTAAGATGTTTCTAGACCCGTGAGGCAGGTCATGCCAAAACTTAACAGCAAAACTTTTTTTTTTTTTGGAGAGGTTTTTGCTATAGGGCACATGCACTCACCAGAAAGACTGAGAGAAACAGAGAGACAGAAAGTGAGAAATCACCCCCCAGGGGGGATGGCCACGCCGCAATCCCTTCTCCTCCATTCTCCTCTCAGGATCTTGGGCATGCACGCACACACGCCCGGCGTGAGTTTAAGCTACCAGGTCCGGGACACAAACCACGGCCAACTACGTGGGAGTCCAGCGACATAGCCATTACGCTAACTGCTGATCCTAGCAGCAAAGCTTATTTAGCCCAGGGTTGAGTGGTGTGTGGTTGGAACCCGGCTGGCTTGTGGGCTGGTTCTCTGGGGGTCTCACTGGGCTCACTCACTCATCTTAAGGAGCCAGGGACCAGCTGGAGTCACAGAAGCCTCTCCCAAGACTTCCAATCCTATAGCCTAATCGAGGCCTCCTCCCATGGAGGACGGTCCCTAGAGCCACAAGAGAAAAGTCAAGTGTTTTGTTTTATTTTTATTATTTTTTAAAGATTTATTAGAGGGACCAACAGCGTAATGGCCACATCACTGGACTCCCATGTAGTTGACCGCAGTTCGAGTCCCGGACCCGGTGGCTTAAAACTCACGCCGGGCAGGGCGCATGTGCGTGCGTGCCCAAGATCCCGAGAGGAGAATGGAGGAGAAGGGATTGTGGCGTGGCCATCCCCCCTGGGGGG